TAAATGGGATTGATTTCCTGATTTCTTCTTCTGATAGTTTATTATTGGTGTATACAAATGCAACTGATTTCTGAATGTTAATTTTGTATCCTGCTTGCTACCTTACTAAATTCATTTATCAGTTCTCACAGTTTTTTGGTGGAGTCTTTGGGATTCTCTATATATAGAATCATGTCATCTGCATATAATGACAGTTTTTCTTCCTCCTTTCCAATTTGGATGCCTTTTATTTCATTTTCTTGTATGATTGCTGTGGCGAACTTTCAGAACTATTTTTGAATAGAAGTGGTGAAAGTGGGCAGCCTTGTCTGGTTCCTGGTTTTAAGGGGAAAGTTTTTAGCCTTTCCCCATTGAGTACAATGTCTGCTGTGGGCTTATCATATACGGCCTTTATTATATTGAGATATGATCCCACTATTCCCACTTCGCTAAGAGTTTTTATTATAAATGGTTGCTGGATTTTGCCAAATGCTTTTTCTGCATCTATTGATAAGATCATATGATTTTTATTTTTCATTTTGTTAATGTGATGTATTACATTAATTAATTTGCGGATATTGAACCAACCTTGCATACCAGGAATGAATCCCACTTGATCATGGTGTATGATCTTTTTAATGTGATGCTGAATTCTGTTTGCTAGTATTTTGTTGAGGATTTTTGCATCTATGTTCATTAGGAATATCGGCCTGTAGTTTTCTTTTTTTGTAATATCTTTGTCTGATATTGGGATCAGAGTAATAGTGGCCTCTCATAAAATGTGCTTGGGAGCCTTCCCTCCTTCTGTATTTTTTGGAATAGTTTAAGGAGAATAGGTGTTAATTCTTTTTTCAATGTTTTGTAAAATTCCCCTGTGAAGCCATCTGGTCCAGGACTTTTGTTTGTTGGAAGCTTGTTTATTACTGATTCAATTTCTTTGGTAGCAATCGGTCTGTTCAAAGTTTCTGTTTCTTCTTGGTTCAGACTTGGTAGTTTGTATGCTTCTAGAAATTTATCCATTTCTTCCAGATTGTCAAATTTGTTGGCATATAGTTGCTCGTAGTATTTTGTTACAATTTTCAGTATTTCTGTGGTATTTGTTGTCACATCTCCTCTTTCATTTCTGATTTTATTAATTTGGGTCCTCTCTTTTTCTTGGTGCGTCTGGCTAAGGCCTTGTCAATTTTGTTTATCTTTTCAAAGAACCAGCTCTTGGTTTCATTGATCTTTTGTGTTGTTTTTTTTGGTCTCTATTTCATTTGTTTCTGCTCTGGTCTTTATTGTTTCCTTCCTTGTACTCCCTTTGGGCTTGTTTTGCCGTTCTTTCTCCAATTCCCTTAGATGTAAAGATAGTCTGTTGATATGAGATTGTTCTTGCTTCCTTAAGTAGGCCTGCACTGCTATGGACTTCCCTCGTAGGACTGCTTTTGCTGCACCCCAAAGACTTTGGGTCGTGGTGTTTTTATTTTCATTTGTCTCGAGGTATCTTTTGATTTCTTCCTTGATCTCAGTTTTGACCCACTCGCTATTTAGTAACGTTATTCAGCCTCCATGTATTTGTGTGCTTTCCGGGTTTCTTCTTGTAATTGATTTCTAGTTTCATAGCATTGTGGTCAGAGAAGACGCTTGATATGATTTCAGTCTTCTTAAATTTATTAAGACTTGTTTTGTGGCCTAACATGTGGTCTATCTTGGAAAATGTTCCATGTGCACTTGAGAAGAATGTATATTCTGTTGCTTTGGGGTTAATGCTCTAAAAATATCAATTAAATCCAGCTGGCCGAAAGTGTCATTTAAGGCCACTGTTTCCATGTTGACTTTCTGTCTGGAGGATCTGTCCATTGGTGACAATGGGGTGTTGAAGACCCCTACTACGATAGTGTTACTGTTGATCTCTGTCTTTATGTCTGTCAAAATCTGTTTTGAATATTTAGGAGCTCCTATGTTGGGTGCATAGATGTTTACTAGGGTTATGTGCTCTTGTTGAATCGGTCCTTTTATTATTATGTAGTGTCCTTCTTTGTCTCTTATTGTAGTCTTCATTTTAAAGTCTATTTTGTCTGAAATAAGTATTGCTACTCCAGATTTTTTCTCATTTCCATTTGCGTGAAACATCTTATTCCATCCCTTTACTTTCAATCAGAGTGTGTCTTTTGATCTGAGATGAGCCTCTTGTAAACGGCGTATGTATAGGTCCTGTTTTCTTATCCACTCAGCCTCTCTATGTCTTTTGATTGGAGCATTTAGCCCATTCACATTTAAAGTGATTATTGATAGGTTCATATTTATTGACGTTTTGTCATTTGTATTTCAGATCTTCCTGGGTTAGCTTGTTTTCCCCTTTCTTCTGTTTAAAAAAGCCCTTTTCACATTTCCTGCAATGTTGGCTGAGTGGTAATGAACTCCTTAAGCTTATTCTTTTCTGAGAAGGTCTTTATTTCTCCTTCAATTTTAAGTGATAGCTGTGCTGGGTAGTGTAATCTTGGTCTACTGTAGGCCTTTATTTTGCATCACTTTGAATATATCCTGCCACTCCCTTCTCACCTGCAGAGTTTCTGTAGAAAAGTCAGCTATTAGTCTTATAGGAATTTCTTTGTATGTAACCTGCTTTCTTTCTTTTGCTGCTTTTAGGATTCTGTCTTTGTCTTTAATCTTTGCCATTTTAACTATGATGTGTCTTGGTGTGGACCTGTTTGGGTTCAGCTTCTTTGGAACTCTCTGCACTTCCTGGGCTTGTATGTTGATTTCCTTCACCAGGGTAGGGAAGTTTTCAGTCATTATTTCTTCAAATACATTCTTGATCCCTTGCTTCTTCTCTTCTCCTTCTGGTATTCCTATGATGTGAATGTTGTTGCACTTGATGTCCCACAGGTCTCTTAAACTATTTTCATTGTTTTTTATTCTTTTTCTTTTTTGTTGTTCCAACTGGGTGATTTCTGCTATTTTGTTTTCTAAATCATTGATCCGATCCTCTGCTTCATCTAATCTACTGGTGATTCCTTCTAGTGTGTTCTTCATTTCAGTTATTGTATTCTTTAGTTCTAACTGGTTGTTTTTTATGATTTCTCTATCCTTCTTTATGTCCTCACTAAATTCTTAAACATTCTTATCATCTGTGTTTTAAACTCTGTCTCTGAAAGATTGGATACCTCTGTTTCATTTAGTTCCATTTCTAGAGGTTTCTTCTGATCTTTTAGGTGGGACATGTTTCTTTGTTTCTTCATTCTGGCTGTCGCTCTGTGATTGCTTCAATGTATTAGATAGATCGCCAGACTTGACATGGCCTCCTCTTTAAGTCCTTCGTTTAAAGGTTCTGGTATGCCCGGCCGAGTGGCGCGTTGGTTAAGAGCTGTCTTGGGACGCCAGAGGGTCCTGGTTCAGATCCCACATATGAGGGCCAGTGACACTGCCCTCTACAGCTAAGATGCTGAACAACAGCTCAGCCTGGAGCTGGGCCAGCGTGAGTCGCTGGCGACGGCATAGGCTGCAGCCCCTGTGACAGTGGGTTGCCATGGGCTACCATGTGTAGCCAGCAGCCAGCGTGAGCGGCCAGCAACCGCAGTGAGTGCCTGTCCAGAAGCTGGCGCCTGATCTGCCTCGCCCGGGAAGAGTGCAATGATGGTGCCAACTTGGGCCAGTGAAGCAATATCCTCCACAACTAGACTGAAGAACAAAAGGACAGCAACTTGTCTGTTCCCCTTTCCCAATTCCCCATCGCTGTTCCCATCCCCCAATTCCCCAATAAAAATCTTTAAAAAAAAAAAAAGATTCGGTTAATCTAGTGTTCAGAGGACTTCTGAAGTTGAATATTTTATAAATTATTTGTAGTTTTGGTGTGATCCTGGGAGGCAGATGGCATAGCATCTGTATTCTGCCATCTTACCAGAAGTCTGGTTTGTGTTTTTGTGTAATACCTCATGCATTTTTATACTTAAAATCATAAAGACCTAATAGCTTTACAGTTTTGTTTTTTACGTTTTGGAGTTTAGTCCAACTAGAATTTATTTTGTGTGTGTGGAATGGAGATAGGGATCTAATTTTATAGTCCGTATTAATACCACATTTTGTGGATTGGCTATTTGGTAGCCACTCTTAATCTTTATTTTATTCTAAAACGGGTTTTTTAACTCTATGATATGAAATTTAGGGTCAGGCTGTCAAATTTATTAGAATTTTTATTGGAATTATATATACACGAAGAGGTATGTAGAGTGCTTTTTTTTCCTAAAGGTTCTTTTGGTTTTTTAGTTTCAGTGTAGTGTTTAGTGTACTTTTCAATAGCAAAGAAATGGAAGTAAACGATTTAGTGATATAATTTATCAGCAAAAGTGAGTGACAGACATAAACCAATATAAGTAAATCGCAAAAACATAATGTTAGTTGAAAAGAAGCAGGTTCGAAAAAGATATATACAATACAATGCCTTTTAAGTAAACTTAAACACAACAGCATTTTTTCTTCTTTTTTAATTTTATGAAATGTATTGGGGTGACCAGTTAATAAAATTACAGTTTCAAGTGTACAATTTGTAATACATCATCTGTTATTATTGCATTGTGTTTTCACCACCCACAGTCAAGTCTCCTTCCATCACCATATATTTGACTCCTTTTACCCATTTCTACCTCCCCCCAACCCTCCTAGCATATATTATTTATGAATAGAAACGTTATTGTGAAAGTGTAAAACCTACTTGGGAGTGATTCACACTGACTTGAGGAAAGTTGTTATAGAAGGAGAAGCAAGAATTAGTGATGTAACAAAGTATTAGGGTTTTTGTGTGTTTTTTTAAGGTTTAAAAAAGGCAAAATGATAGAGGTAAGTAAATGGGTATTTGTTTAAACACACATTTGTTTTAAAATATTTTATGATTAAAACTAAAAATTTAAGATTAACCTGCAAATCTCTAGTAAAATTATAAAGTTACATCAACCCTGTGACCCAACAATTGTACCCTCAGAAGAAATAAAAACATAACGAAATATTGATAACATAGCAGCGTGGATGAATCTCCAAAAACAGTATTAAGCAAAAATTCAGTCAGAAACAAGTGCATACTATATATTTTCCCATTTATTTGAAGTCCAAAAACAGGCAGAGATAATCTGTGTTGATAGAAGTCAGAAAGTAGTTGTCCTGGGGTGTTGGAGACTGCCTAGAAAGGGTGTTAAAGGAAGTTTGGGGATGACGGAAATGGCATTATATCTAGTAACAGAGAAAAGAAAACATGTAGTGTGATCTAATCTTTTATTCCTCCTGAAACTCTTTTCTTCCCCTTTTCTGTAGGTGGAGCTTTCTATACAGCAGAGACGAGTGAAAATGCAAAATTGCATTATTACAGCTCGTGGGCACTTATCCTCCATGCTACAGCATTGTGGCTCACGAGCACAGGCTTTGTTGTTGCTGACCCTGATGAAGGAGCATCTAATCTCTCAAGGCCTGTGACACCCACCTCCATGTGTCAAGGTTCATCATCTGGGGCTACAGTAAAGTCCCCTGAGGATGTCTACACTGATAGATTCCATCTCATTTTAGGTCAGTAAAAGAGCTTACACGCTTCCAGCCCTACAGAGTTTTCCTTGAATTTGCCTCACTTCCTATCAGCTCTCAGTGACTGTTACCTCATTCTGTGTTAGATGTTAGTGATAGCCTTGATATAACTGAATGAACTTCTATACATTTTTTTAATTGCAAATTTCATTATGCTAAGTCTAGAATTCCATTACAAGCTGGCTTCAGCATCAATTTGAATGAATTAGAGAAATTGCAAGAGAAGCCTATTTCTTTCCACAGAATTTTTAAAAGATCCATGTAGTATCTACCTCTGTTCTGAATTTCTCAGTAGTATATATACTCATATATAAAAAATATCAGTATACTGAGGGGATTGTGTTCCACGCGCGCACACACACACACCTTTCTCAAAAATTGCAGGGTTCAAGAAAAGTATACTCAAAGGTACAGATCTGCAAACAAATGTGTAAGGTCAAAGATAAATGAGATTTTCATGTTTATGGAGTTTAACCCCTTTTTTGGTTTTCCTGGAACTTCATTTTTAAAGTGAAGTATCTTTCTAAGGCACAGTGAGTTTCTAGAATAAATGTTTTTCATATTTTACTTAGTTCATTCATTGCCTGTAAAGAAGTTACTAATTAAATGAAATGTGAGAATTTTAAATATAAATGATTAAATTAAGATTTATGATTCATAGAGCTTCTATTATTATTCCTTCCCAGGCCAGACATGACCAGATTTCCTATTTCCTTGGTTATATTAACATTTTATTTCCATTTGCCTTAAATTAGAGATTTTAAAAAACAAGCTTTTATAGAATAAAGGATGGCAGAGTTATTACGAGCATAAGCTGTGTAGTTTTGATCAACTCAGTTCAAATTCTTGATATACCCCATAGTAACTGACTTTGAGCAGATTAAATTACTTAAATTCTATGTGTTTGTTTCCCCTTTTCAAAAAGAGTAGTAATAATAGTAACTACATCCTCAGGTATTATGAGAATGAATGAAATGATATATGTAAAATGCAGCATCTGATATATGATAATCACTCAATAAGTTTTAGTCAACAAAAAGTTACACAGCTCTTCATGTTAAGTTCTCTGGCACAATTTTATTGTAATTTTTGCATCTTTTACTTTTCATAGCAACTACGCAGCAGTGCACAAGCCTCATTGAGATTATTCTTTGTGTACATGTAGATAAAAACAAAAGACTTGCCTTCTGATTTAATTGTTTAGAGTCTTAAATTCATTGTGGTTTACTTGCATTACCTTTTTGCTAATCTTATTTATACATCTTATCAAAATGGAAAATTATTTCACTTCATCAACTGAGAGTCTCAAAGAAGCCTCCTTCTCTTTTTCTGCTTTCTTTAGGAATCAGTGTGGAATTTCTTTGTTCCTTGCGCTCAGATGCAACCATGGAAAGCATCACTGCTTGTTTACATGCGTTACAGGCCCTTCTAGATGTTCCTTGGCCCAGATCTAAAATTGGCAGTGATCAGGTGATTTCTTGTTTTTTGTTAGGCTTCTATAGATTTCAAGGAACAGGAACAGAAACGTGTTCAGTTTACTACAGCGAACAGAGGGTGAACACGGAGAAGTCAGAAGAAAACTAAACAGCTGCACAGCTAGGCCTCAATCTGGAATGCCGTCAGCAGCATTCCAGAAGGAATTGGCCTCTGACTGCTGCATTCTGTCCCTGCTGCTGCAGCACTTGTTTCTGCCGCCACCAGCTAACCACTCTGTATAGCAGCTCTTCAGTCAGACTTCTTAAAATAATGGGAAGTTCTGTATTGCGCTGTCCAGTAGTAGCCATTTACATGTGGTGTTCCTTCTTTGTCTTTTTCTAATTCAGTACACCCTGCTCTTCATATACATCTGTATCTTCCATTTCTCCAAGGGAAAAATCTGCTTGATTTGTTGAGTTACTGCCTGTTACAAAATATTCCTGTTGGCTGAGTTCTCCCTCCATGTCTTTTTAAGAGACTAATGGCTAGCCTATAGGTGAAGTCAGATGCTAATACCTGACCCAGTTGTGACCATGGTAAAAGGATCACTGTAACAGAGTACAGCCCTTTTTTTAACTGCTTTCCCAAGAGCAACTGTGCCTTGGGCAGGCACCCTACCATCATGTGTTACTAGTGTGTTAAATTGTCATCATTGACTCTTGGATGTTAAGTAACATGGATGGTATGATTTCTTCTCTGTCTGGACTGTTATTTGCCTTATTAACGCTATAAATCCAATTTCTACCTGACTTGGATTGTACTTGATAAATTTTAAACTTTTTGAGCTTGTTTATTCGGTATGTTAAAACAAGTATAATGGAAAAACAAAACAAGTATAAAGATAGATTTATTCTGTTATTTTCAAAGATGAAAGCCACTAGAGTAACCGATAGAAAAGAAAGATGGAAAATGAAATACTAATTATCCAGTATATTTTATTCTTTTTTTTTTTTAATTGGAGAATTGTGGGAGGGGAGCAGTGCTGGGGAATCAAGGGAAGGGGAACAGACAAGTTGCTGTACTTTTGTTCTTCAGTCTCATTGTGGAGGATGTTGCTTCACTGGCCCATGTTGGTTTGGTATTATTGTGCTCTTCCCAGGTGGGGCAGATCAGTCGCTGGCCTCTGGACTGCCACTCATGGCGGCTCACAGTGGCTCACATAGGCTGCCGGCCACACACACACGGTAGCTTATGGCAGCCCACTGCAGCAGGGGCTGCAGCTTATGCCGTCACCGGCGACTCACAGCAGCCCAGCTCCAGGTTGAGCTGTTGTTCACCATCATAGCTATAGAGGGCAGTGTCACTGGCCCTCATGTGGGATCCAAACCAGGGCCCTGCTGCTTAGAGCTGGCGTCCCAAACCAGCTGTTAACCAACACGCCACTCGGCCGGCCCCAGTATATTTTATTCTTTAGCGAGATATCCATTATGTGCTTATTAACTTTTCCACTTTTAATGTCATACTTCTCCAACTTGCTTTGTTATTACTAAAAAAAACCTTAATATAAATCTGGGAATCTGCATGGCAGTCCTGTATTCTTTTAGCCCAATTTCTCATCTTGTGTTAGAAATTTCCTTTTCTGTTTTCCCAGTTTAGGACCTGTGTAAAAATTATCTTTTGTCGCAGTGCCGTCTCCCACAAGATTGGACAAAAACCAATCTGGAGGTGGTTTAAAGTGGAGCAAGTGTTACATAACTTTATTACACTGACACCTTTTTTTGTGTGTGAGCAATTTGTTATATTCTCTTTTCCTGCATTTTGTCATAGAATTTATTAGCATTGGTGTTTTTTAAAAAGAAAGTATGTGATTTCCAGTACAATCTCCCCTAAATGTTTTCTATGATAGGACTTGGGTATCGAGTTGTTGAATGTACTACATCGAGTGATTTTGACCCGAGAATCACCTTCCATTCAATTGGCTTCGCTTGAAGTGGTAAGACAGATTATCTGTGCAGCTCAAGAACATGTGAAGGAGAAAAGACGAAGCGCAGAAGGTGAATGTTAACCCATAATGCAAAATTAATGACATAGCGTCGTTATTTTTTAAAGTATTGCTTATGTGTCCATGTCATAATCTGTTATGTATAGCACAAATGGAACATCTCTAGGTATGGCTTTAAGTCCTCCCATTGACCTTTGCATGTTAGCTTGGATATTGTTAGCTGAACTATTCCTTGAGAAAATAAGAACTTTAAAACCCTGAAAGGGGAGGGAAATCCCTTATACTGATTGGGTATTTACTTAAACTAGCTGTAAGTGTTTACCATTGTAGATGGAAAAAACTACTAACAATTTTTTAAGGACCCAGGCTTTGCAGAGTGATTAAATTGCTTGTTTACAAGTCTGATTTGGTATGGTGAGTTTATCATTTAAGGTTACGTTTGACTACATGCAACAGTGATTTAAAACAAAAGGACTTACTCTCTCATCTAAAAGAAGACCAGGGGTCGGCAGTACCAGCTGGTATGGCAGCTTCTTTAAGAAGCCATCAGGGACCTCGGTTCCTATCTTTCTATCTTACGGTCAGTGCAGGAGCTCCAGCCATCAGGTTCACATTTTTAACAGCAAGGAGTTGACCAGATAATGCTTTAAGGTCAAGAGGGTTACTAAGGATTTCTTTTGATTCATCGTAATAAGAGAAGTCATAATAAAAAAAAAAAGAAGTTATAATAATGACAACTACTTTTGCCTTCATAATTGCTTTCTCTTTAAACCTTAACACCGAAGTCTTTAGCCATTTAAGTGTGTTTCCTACAACATAAATGAACTAAATTGCCACCTACCAGAAGCAAAGTAAACATGAAGCATTTATTTAACACTGTTCTTTCTGTCTTTTAGTTGATGATGGGGCTGCTGAAAAGGAAACCCTGCCAGAGTTCGGAGAGGGAAAGGACACAGGAGGACTTGTGCCTGGGAAATCTTTGGTTTTTGCAACACTGGAACTGTGTATGTGCATTCTAGTTAGACAGCTTCCAGAACTAAATCCTAAATTGACAGGTAGCCCAGGAATAAAAGCTGCAAAGCCACAGATGCTGTCAGAAGATGGAAGTAAATTGGTTTCGGCTGCCTTAGTTATCCTCTCTGAACTCCCTGCAGTGTGTTCTCCTGAAGGTATGCTGTGGTTTGGGGTTGTTTTATTTATTTATTTATTTATTTAAATATTTTTACTGGGGAATTGGGGGATGGGAACAGCGCTGGGGAATTGGAGGAAGGGGAACAGACAAGTTGCTGTCCTTTTGTTCTTCAGTCTAGTTGTGGAGGATGTCGCTTCACTGGCCCAAGTTGGCACCATCATTGCGCTCTTCCCGGGCAAGGCAGATCAGTCGCCAGCTTCTGGACGGCCGCTCACGGCTACTGCTGGCCGCTCACGCTGGCTTCTGGCTACACACGGTAGCCCATGGCAACCACTGCAGCAGGGGCTGCAGCCTACTCCATCGCCAGTGACTCACGGCAGCCCAGCTCCAGGTTGAGCTGTTGTTCAGCATCTTAGCTGTAGAGGGCAGTGTCACTGATCCTCATATGTGGGATCCGAACTGGGGCCCTCTGGCGTCCCAAACCAGCTCTTAACCAACGCACCACTTGGCTGGCCCTGGGGTTGTTTTAATTGACCTGGAAGGAAAGAAATGGTTTCATTAGATAAAGGAGATAGTGGTTGCTAATCTTTTTCTCATTAAACCAAATCTGACCAAAGGTTTGGGTAATGTTATTAATCCTCTGAGATTAACATTACAGTAATGTGTAGAATAACATTCTAATAATGTGGTTTGCTAAAAGGGTGACAATAAATAGAGACAGCATGTACTACAGATAGGCTCTTTTATAGTTGACAGTACTTTAAACAGGTCAATGGCATTTATTCAATCTTGGGCATTTTTGGTATTCGGTATCTAATGGGCTTTCCCTGCCTTGGTGATGACAGAAGTTTGTCATCGTGTCCAGTTCTGTTTGAAATGGAGTTCATACATTCACCACAGCATTTTAAGGCTCCCTGTAGGGTCCTGCTGAGTCACTACCTCCTCATTCCTTCTGTGTCAATCTGAAACCCAGGAGGCTTCACACTCATCCCTGCTCTGTGTTGTGTGATCTGACGTGACCCCATCCCTTCTCCCCTATGTAAAATTTTGCCTTCCTCTGAAGTTCAACTCCAGTACTATCTCATCTTTGAGGCGTACACACACACACACACACACACACACACATATACCAGGGGTGCCAAAAAATGTATACAAGTGGACATTTTGGTCAACGTTGCTCAAGCAATAGTTCGCCGTAATCAGAAGTGTCTGGACACTGATGGTGACCACTTTGAGCACCTCTTGTAATTGCAGAAGTCAAACATGACTTATTCATCTTTTGTTATCAGCATATATTGAGTATTACAATTTTAATAATTTTTTCCTTAAAATGTATATACATTTTTTTGGCACCCTCTGTATATGTGTGTGTGTTGCTTCTATATGTAGATACATAATTTTTTTATATGTCATGTAGAGGTATTATATGTAATTGATTATCATGTATGATGAAGATATATCAACAGACATATTATTTCCAATGAAATTTTTTATCCCCTAGGAAATCTAGCACATGATAGGTACTCAGTACTTAATACTTTTTAATTGATAAGCATGTTTCTGCTTAAATATATCTTGACCAATTTATGTGCTATCTCATTTTTAACATGATTTTAAAACCTATATTCCAGGGCCTGCCGAGTGGCTCAGTTGGTTAAGAGCTCGCTCAAGAGTTTGAGCTCTGAGCAGCAGCAGTTCAATTCACAGCCTGAGCTGAGGTGCCGCTGAGCTACCAACAGGTGGCAGGATGACTCAGCTAAAAAAAAAATAAAACCTATATTCCTTGTTCTCAGACATTGTCTTACACCAAGAGTGGCAGAAGAAGTTACTAGCAGAGGATTAGGGTAAAAATATACTATACAAGTCTTGTTGAGTAGCCTTTGGGAAAACTAAATTGACCATTTTAGCTTTAGTCTCTTTCATTTTAAACATAACTGACTTTCAACTCCTTAGTGGCCATGAAAACTAATATTTTGTACTGAGTAGATTCCTTGAAAAAGAGTTCCTTGAAAAAAGAGTTTAATATAAAATAAATTCAAATGGACAGTGGTGATGGTTGTACAACATTGTGAATGTACTTAATGCCACTGAACTGTACACTTCAAAATGGTTAAAGTGGTAAATTTTATGTTGTGTCTATTTTACCACACTAAAAAACAAAAGTAAATTCAACATTTGCCAACTACCAAGTAAAACAAAATAAGACAGCAAAAGATAATGATACTGTGACACAGTTTAAATAACATCTTCAATTATAACCAAAATATAATCCAATCTTTAAAATCTAAAAGTTACTTAAATTATCTTAACAGTTATAATTCTTTATGAAAAATAATCTTGGGGCCAGCCGAGTTGCTCAGTTGGTTAAGAGCTCGCTCAAGAGTGTGAGCTCTGAGCAACAGGGTAGAGGCCGGTTCGATTCCCAGCTGGAGCTGAGCTGCCAACAGGTGGCAGGATGGCTCAGCTAAAAAAATAAATAAATAAAAAACAATTTAAAAAGCTAGAAATCTTTGACATTGTCTTACTCACTGACGATTTCTTTTTAGGAACTGTGTACATAAACTGCAATACAGAGTGTTTTCAAAAATGTGTTTTACAGGAAGCATCTCCATTCTCCCTACTATATTGTACCTCACAATTGGTGTTCTCAGAGAAACTGCTGTGAGGTTACCTGGGGGCCAGTTATCTTCGACCGTTGCAGCTTCCCTGCAGGCTCTAAAAGGAATCTTGTCTTCTCCCATGGCCAGAGCAGAAAAGAGCCACACTGCTTGGACTGACCTTCTCCGTAGTGCTTTAACAACAGTTCTTGACTGTTGGGATCCAGGTAATTAAAGCTCTTGGAAGCAGTTGTTCAGTTTGTTAAAAAAATAGGTGGAGGGGGAGAGACCATTTTTTGAAGAATGAGTTATTTACTTGACCATGCTTGGCAGTCACTTAGAGGAGACCATATTTACTGCGTGTGTGTTTAGAGAATATATGTAAGCAGATAGAAACATCTATGTTCTCATTTTAGTATCTTTAATACAGTTAAATGACTGGCAGCCTATTTGTTGACAGTGAGAAACCTTCAAATGTAATATTTTGTTAATTTAAATATATAGTATGAAAATAATATGTAGTATGATCCATGACTAACTGACAGAACTTTTTAATAGTCACAGTATATTGAAAAGTGCATAAGCTGTGCATTATAAATATAAAATAAGACTGATCTGGTTCATAGCCTCACCCCAGAGCTTACTAGTTAACTAACCAAGTTACCCAACTTCTCTGAGCCTTAGTTTTCTCATTAACAAGGTAAGAAATTGTTAGAGCAGTACCATAATACATGAAAAGCATCTCGCTTGTTACCTGGCATATATCAATAAATGATAACTAGTATTATGTTCAGTATCCATTAAAATGTGTTTACTCTTGTTATTGTTACATAGCTTTCATTTTCAACATGTTAATAGTGATTGTAAAAAGTCTTTAGACAAATTACAAATTATCCACACTTTCTTGTTCTGTTTACAAATGTCACAGTTTTACTTGATTTTATATGGTAAAAAGGCTTCAACTGAATTCAGCATTTTTTAACCACCTCCTCTGGTACACCCAGAGTTTAGGGTCTAGTACCTATAAATTTCTGTAGGATATGATTAATAACATAAGGTACTCCTTGAAGGCAGAAGTAATATCTTAATTATCACTTTGTCTCTAGTACAATAAAAAAGAGACTACCAGAAAAGGAGAGTAATCAGCTCTGTTTAAGTGAATCAGGCAGAGTGTCACAGGCAGGCTTCTCTGGAGTTTGCAGGGAAAGAGTTTTATTATATTAAGGAACCATATCTGTGAAGGGAATAGAAGAGAGCAATGTTGGGCAAAAGTGGTCAGACTGCAGTGTGGGCCCCGGCAGAGCACAGTGAGCCTGAGAGTTCTGGAGGTTGCCCATCAGAATGTCTCACCAGGGACAGAAAAGGCCTGCCCTTTATCTGTAGATGTGGGCTGCTCCAGGAAGGGTGTGATCTCAGCCAGGCAACTCTGTAACTAAGGCCACCAGCCCTAAAGCAGCTGACAGCTGACCACATTCCCACAGCTGGGCAGCACCTTCCCCCACCAAGGAGATCTCAGTGGTACACCTCGTGAAAGGCTTCCCCAAAGAGTTAATTTCTTCAAAGATCAGAGAGCATTCTCCACATGAACATCATAGATGGGGATTCCAGGCACAAATTGGATCAAACACCTGGAGACCTAATTAATTAGAATAGTACATTTGGGAACAGCCAGTAGAGAAATGAGAGAATGCAGGTTTGAAGGGAAAGAGTAGGAGGGTGGTGCAAGGTGATTAGCAGAGAAAGAGATGAAGTTGAATGGCACATAGGGCCAGGTTATGAAGGGTTTGGTGATCTGTAATCTTGAACCGCTTTTACTATGCATGTGGATCACTAAAGGGTTTTCAGGATCTTAAGTGATGGGATTTGCATTTCTAAAGAATCATTCCATCATTCCAGTATAAAAAAGAAGGGGGTGGGGGTGTTAGCTCAGTTGATGAGAGTGCAGTGCTCATTAACACCAAGGTTGCTGATTCAGTCCCCACATGGGCCACTGAGCTGTGCCCTTCACAACTAGATTGAAACAACTACTTGACTTGGAGCTGATGGGTCCTGGAAAAACACACTGTTCCCCAATAAAAAAAAAAAGAAAGATTCTTGGAGATAAAATAGTAGCAGTAAGGATAAAGAAGAGTAGAATAATGAAAACTAAAATGTTACACATGTACTAACAGAATTTACTGATAGTTTGGTCTAGGAGTTGAAAAGGTCAGGTGACCAGAGCACTCATAGCACCATTAACAGAAATACTAAAGTGAGTATTTTCAGGGGAATATAGTGAAGTTGAATTTTCAATGCCTATAGGATAATCAAGAAGAACAGAATAAAGGTCTGGAGTTCAAGAAAGGAGTCTAGACTAGAGATGATTTTAGACTACATGTATTTGAGAGTTGTTGCAACCTATAGGATAGTTCAGATCACCCAACCTGAGTTTATGGAGCAAGATGGGAGGAGATTCAGAAGAGATGCTATCACAGAAGCCAAAGGAAAGAGTCTTAATGGTGAGAGTGGTCAGCAGTGTAAAAGAGTGTTGAGGTACAAATAAGAGCTAAGGAAGGGGAAGGATTGCATATAGGCTCCAAGACGAGACTAGTGTGAGTTCGTGCTAATGTGAGGGAAGCAACATTCCTTTCTAGTCAGGAAGAAATAACATTCACAGTGAATTTTAGAACAATTAACCTCTGCCAATGAGAGGGAAGAAAAGACGATGAGGGAAAGTGGTTGGTCTGATTTTGTGTTTGAATGATTGTGAGCTTGCCTCTTCCATCACTCAACTCAAAGATGTTTTTTTGTTGTGTGTCAGGGAATGAGGCTAGGACTGAGGATTTAGACTAGCTACTGAGAAAAACTAAAGAAGGAGCTGATCATGACAGGGAAACCACTTGCTTCATAACAAATTTCCCCAAAACTTAGTGGCTTAAAAAACATGTATTATTGGATAGTTATGGGTCAGGAATTCAGAGCGTCATATGTAGCTGGGTATTTCTGGCTCAGCGTCTTTCATGAGGTTACGGTTGAGATGTTGGCCAGGACGGCAGCTGGAGGATCCGTTTCCAAGATGAATCACGCAAGGCTGTTCCGTAGCCTCTCCACGGGCCTCATGCGAAGTTCCCTTGCATCTATCCTAAGTAAAAGAGAATGGGCTGTAATTGAAAAATAAAATTAAAAATAAAAGAGAACGGGCATACAGTCACGTGCTCCATAACGACATTTCGGTCAATGACAGACTACATATGCAGTGGTAGCCCATAAGATTACAATTAATTATATAAGCAAAAAGTTTGTGATGTCGAAAGAGAAGGCTGGACAGATTAGATGTTGAATTTACTGCTAGCTCTGGGTGGTTTAAATACACGAGGAGGCCCAGCATGCTGTCCTTCCACCAGAGGCTGGGGCCAGGAGTTGGTGAGGGACCAAGAGAAACAGGCTGGGGAGAAGGGCTCAGGGGCCCTCCCCACAGCCACCCCTGCCTGCCCTGCGTGCACAAGCTCACTTCCCTTTCCTCCGTTTCCTCTCTCTCTTCCCTCCCAGGCCTATTCCTCTCTTCTTCCGCACTCTCCCTTTTTTTATTTTTAGTATCAAACTTTATCTCTCTGGGTCTTTTTTTATCTCTGTTCTCCCTTTCTCTCCTATTTTCTTCCTTCTCTCTCTCCCTCCTCCTGATATCTGCTCTCCTTCCAAAGGTGCCTTCCTCCACAGATCTCCCCACCACTATTGTGTGTGCCTGCGTTCTCATAAATGTGCATATACTTTATCTTTTATACTGTACTTTTACTGCACCTTTTCTGTTTGGATACACAAATACTTACCATTGTGTTACAGTGGCCTACAGCATTCAGCACAGTAACACACTGTACAGGTTTGTAACCCAGGAGCAATAGGCCACACTGTATAGCCTAGGTGTGTAGAAGGTTGTGTCGGTGCACTGTGATCTTCCCACAACGATGGAATCGTCTTAACGCATTTCTCAGAACGTTTCCCTGTGGTTAAGCAAGGCATGACCATAAGGGAATTTAAGAAGAAATGGGAGGAGGAATCCAGGACAATTTCATCTTACTGAGAATAAAAAGACATTTCATTTTTTTTCCTAAACAGACTAGCTGACTATGTTGTAGTTCCAAGTTGCTGTAAATGGCTGAAAATATCTTGACTGTGTAGGAAGTAGTATAAGCATCATGGTTAACAGTTTGCTCTCTGGAATCAAACTGTCTGCCTTACTCATTGTATGACTTGAGCAAATGACTGAATTTCTGTTCTTCAGTCTCATCCATAAAATAGGGGAAATAAGAGTACCTACCCCACGGTGCTGTTGTGAGGATTAAATATTTAATATATATCAAGTGCCTATAATAGTACTGTCATATTTTAAGTGTTGACCATGTATCTGTTTTGCCATAAAATTATTCAAATTATTTTTATAAAATAAATATCACTTATCCATAATATTTTTCTTTCATTGCTATTGTCTCTCAAGTGTCAGCTCAGATATCAATCTTCTCAAGGCTTTCTCTGACCATGTAGTATAGCAACTCCTGGATTGCATTCTATTATTTTAATATATTTTTTATACTCATAGACGTTGTGACTAGCTGAAATGAAATTCTTTATTTACTTCCTGGTATAGAGTACATTTTCTTTTTGAATTATATCAATGCCAAAAGGAGTGCTGGTGCATAGTAAATGTTTCTTAAATATTTGTTGAATGAATGTCACCAAAGCTTCTCTCATAAGTAGCAATCTATTACACAATTTAATAAGTTGAATTTGTCATTCCTTTTCAAATGTTGATTTTTCACAGCAGGTTCATTAAAGTTATTTAATGAGAGCATGACTTTGGAAAATGAATTACATCTAATAGAAAATTCCTTCAAATGATTGGTGGTGAAAGGGGCCCAAAGTTTTGCCGTTTGAGATATTGACTTTTTTGGTTATTAAGAAACAGAAGATTCAGAAAGAACCTTTGACCCTCCCCCCCTTACCTGCCTTAAGAGATTCAAATGGAAAAACCCACTCCTGGAAAGAAATCTTTACATATTCACATCAGCCTACTCTGAATTGAGTATGGTAGATGGGAAGGTGTCCAGCAGGGGTCTGTTTACTAGACCACCCCCCCACCCCATGTCATTGTTTTGGGGTTGCCTAACAAAAATTTAGCTGCCTTGTATGTTCCCTCTTCCTCAATCACTTGTAAGTGGCCCATTCTCACTTTTGAAATCTAAGCTCCCATACCCTCCTTTCTCTTTTGTCCAAAATGACCTATATACCCAATTTTGCCTCACTGTCTTTGGAATTTTTATGCTTATTGTGAATTCCCCATGTGCATGTATTAAAATTTGATTTTCTCTTGTTAATCTGTCTCTTAATTTGATTATTAACCCAGCTATAAGAATTTGGAAGCTGGGAGGAAAAGTTTGTGTGTGTGTTTTTTTAGCCCCTCTCAGTGGCCTCTGCAGATATTTTCTGTACTGTTAAGAAATGGTATATGTAGCAAAGTGTTAAGGTATTTTTACTTGACACATGTATTATCAAAATATGAATACTTTAAACCTAACAAAGAAGCAGCAGTTGTCCAAGCATTTCTGTATTGCTCCACAATGAAAATAGTAATATACTGGCCAACACATGTTGAATATGATGTACAACATGCTATTCTAATTCATTTAATCCTCATACCCTTATAAGCGTTAAGTGCTGTATGTGTATATGTACTAGTAAATATGTATATGTATTTACTGACATCCTTACCTATGAAGATTATAATTTCTTTGGTAATTCTTGGCTCTAGAGTTACTTACAATGCACATTTTTAAAACTACAACAACTGTCATGATTCTTAAAGTCAATCAGTGTTTACTGTCTGTAACTGTTGTATACACAAAAGAAATGGTTTCCACCAAACTAGAGTCAGCTTCACAGAGATATATAAAACGAAATATGGCAGTATTAGGACCTGTTTTTCATAGGTCATTTTTCTCTTCAGCAGATGGAACACATCAAGAACTTGATGAAGTCAGTCTACTTACTGCTATCACAGTATTTATTTTGTCTACCAGCCCAGAAGTAACTACCATCCCATGTCTTCAGAAGCGCTGTATTGAGAAATTTAAGGTTACTCTTGAGCTAAAAGATCCAATGGTAAGTGGCTTTAGCAGAGATGTTTGTAATAGGAATATGTTTAGGCTTTTGCAAAACATTTGTGATTTTTGCTGGCTCCAACAAGAAGTATCAGACTACAATTTTTATTTTAAGGTTTGGATTAATTCCTATTCCTGGGGTAACAAAACCAAATAATAATGGTCTTATTATTTGCCCCTGAGGCTAGAGCATAGTTGGAGAAAGGTAAAGGAAATGTTAATTAATAAATAAACAAACAAAATTTGAAATAAGGGCATCTTAAAATTGATATATCTCTAGGACTTTACAAGGGACATTTAGTAAGACATTGGGTTGTCAGAAAAGTCATGACGCATTTTTGCAACAAAAAACACAGAAAAAATATGTCATGACTTCTCCGACAACCCAATAGATTATAGCTTATTATAGTGGATTTCCTTAAAAAAAAAAGAAGGAAAGGAGACTCCAGCACATGCCTTCAGTATATAATTGTGAAATAATGGGACCCATTTCAAAAGTAGTACATACAAGCTGATCTCATTGCTTTATGGTCCCTTCATTTGCTGGATTAATTTCCTGTTCCTTTATGTGCTACAAAATGAGTTTTTACCACATGATCACAAATACTTATATGACTCCTAAAATGCAAGAACCAGGGCCGGCCGAGTGGCTCAGTTGGTTGAGTGTGAGCTCTGAGCAACAGGGTCGCCAGTTCGATTCCCACATGGGCCAGTGAGCTGCACCTGAGCTGAGCTGCCAAAAGGTGGCAGGATGGCTCATCTGGTGAGAGCACATGCTCCTCACAACAAGGTTGCCGGTTCGACTCCTGCATGGGATGGTGGGCTATGCCCACCCGCAACTAAGATTGAACACAGCACCTTGAGCTAAGCGGCCGCAAGCTGTCAACGGGCAGCCGGATGGCGACTGGACTTGGAGCTGAGCTAGCTGCGCCCTCCACAACTAAGATCGAAGGACAACAACTTGGCTGTTCCCCTTCCCCAATTCCCCAATAAAACCTTAAACAAAAAAAAAAAACCAAAAAAATGCAGGAACCAGATTTTGTCTCAGAAAAAAATAATCATCTAAATACTATTACGATGAATTGAATACAGGATGACTTACATACAGTAAGTGCTCACTTGACATCATCAATAGGTTATGCAACTTTAAGCAAAAGAACGTATAGACAAACCACAGGCTAATTGGTATAAACAAGAGCTAGGTTCCTAAAGCACCTCATCAATATTTTGCCAGGACCTGCTCTATTTGATGTATAGTCATCTCCTTTTGCTCTTCTGCCCTATTTGTTACTGACAGCCTTACAGGAGCTTATGGAGCAGTCTCAAAGTGATGGCTCTGATATGTGATGCCACACAATTAATATGGTCCAGAGTTCCTTAAGACCCTGACATTTGAACTTCAAATATATGTAATTTTTGTCTAAAACATTTTCTGAAATCTCCAAAATATGTTTCAAGTTTGTATGTATGTTTTGGTGTAATTTTGGTTTTAAAGATTTTGTATATAATCTATATGAGGGGGAAAATGGGAACAAGAAAAGAAGAAAAATTAACCATACAATAGAGAAGGCAAGTAAGTTTCCTTCCCTATCATACCCATGCGCCTCCATTCCCAGTCCAAACTGTCACCACCACTGTTGTTAGCATGCAAGTTTGAATACCTGTTAGCACTTGGACTTCCAAAATTAAAGATAAATTAGAAATAAATTTAAATACCTTTTTTAGGGGCTTTTTACATTTATTTTTTAAATTTACATTAAAATCTACATTTAATATAAATCTAAATTATACTTACAATTTATACTATTTTTGTCTCTTACCCGATTAGGTACAAATCAAGACCTACCAGCTCCTACTTTCCATTTTTCAGTATCCGAATCCAGCAGTTTCCTACCCTTACATTTACTCTTTAGTATCCTCTATCGTGAAACAATTACAGGAAATAGACAAGAGAAAACCTGAAAACACCACTGAGCTTCAGGTCTTTCAAGAAGGCATAAAGGTCTTGGAAGCACTGGTAGCCGTTGCTGAAGAGCAGCACCGTAAGTGTCAGCCGTAAATTCCTATATATCAGATCTGTCCCAAATCAGAAATTTAGTGTTATTTAAAATGTAAAATATTTGATTAGTCACTTAACATTATATTTTTATATTTATTGAAAGGAAGTATGTATTATGTTAACCCCAAGTAGTAGTAATTTGGAAGAAGAGATGGGAAGAATTGTTTTCCCTTTAAACAGGGGGAAAAATGTGTTCAGATCAAGTGTGTTTACAGCTTTGTATAAGAAACATTTTCATCCCTAAACCTAGGGCTTACATCATTTGTTTACTTTCCAGGCGCTCAGCTGGTGGCATGTCTCCTGCCCATCCTCATTTCCTTCCTTTTGGATGAGAATGCTCTGGGACCAGCAACTTCCATAATGAGAAATTTACATGACTTTGCTTTGCAAAATCTCATGCACATTGGGCCTCAGTATTCATCAGTGTTTAAAAGTGTAATGGCTTCTTCTCCAGCCCTGAAAACCCGCCTTGAGGCTGCTATAAAGGGCAATCAAGAAAGTGTCCAAGTCAGGATACCGACATCTAAACATACTAAGTACTCTGGAAAGAATTCAAGCATCCAATTAAAGACTAATTTCCTCTGATGAGTTTTTTTGTTTTGTTTTGTTTTTGTTGTTGTTGTTAGCACCTTAATACCGTACTTGATCATTTCCTTCTCTTTGGAGACAAAAGTGACATTTTAGACACAAGTGCACTTGGAGGTCTGGTTGATAGTTTTCATTTAAATAACTGTGACTTTTCAAAGTAATAGCAAACTTAACATCTTTGTGGGGGGGGGGGTTTCCATTTAATAAAACCACAGAAAGAATTCTTGCCAGGAATTTCAAGAAAGTGCTAAAGAGCTGAACTTACTAAACAATCCACTGCTTTAAAAATGAAATGAATTTCTTTTGACAGCCCATACACACATGGTATATACTTAATACTATGACAGGTGGATTTGACTATTATAAACTATCTACATTTATCCTGTATTCTACTGCTAATTTAAAATTCTGCCCTATTCAGTAATTGTACTAAACTTTCTTAGATTTCTCAAACAACATAAATGATTGGAAAGCTATTTAAGAAATTTGGTTTAGAATTATTCACTATAATAGTACAAATTAATTACAGCCCTACAGTGTGACTTAAGATTTGGTATCTATAAATATCATGTGTTTTCATTATATTTTGGTTTTGTTTGCATTGGTTTCAGAAATGGAAATTTTACTCACTTTAAATATAGTAAAATAGTGGCTGGCCAAGTGGCTCAGTTGGTTAAGAGCTCACTCAAGAGTTTGAGCTCTGAGCAACAGCGGTTCGATGCCCGCCCGAGCTGAGCTGCCATGTTGGCAGGATGGCTCAGCTAAAAAAAATAATAATAATACAGTAAAATAGTTTCTCAAATGGATTTTCTGTTACCTCTGTTCCAAACAATTTTGTTCATTTTCATTTGTGGCAAACATTCATACCAATGAGTTTAATATAGATTCATATCTATATTTAGATCAATTATGGGTTTATATAAACTTCAAATTTAGATTATCAATGAATACAAGTATGTTTTTAAGATGAAACATATTTTAATATAGAAAAACATTAATGATAGTCATATTGGTTGAAAAATATTTTTTAACTTTTGGTGATCTTTGACTCTCCTTCCACTTAATTGTTATACTCTGAATCAAGCACTATGTCAAAACAAAGCATTTCCCTGTTAAAAATTAAAAACCAAAGTAATAGGGGCATGTTCAGAATTGAGAAAACGCTTTTGAGTCAAGCAAGAGCAATGTGATGTACTCTATTTTATTATGTTTGTATATAAATACTCTTGTAAATTGTTCAGATTGAAAACATTTGACAAGTACTACAATCAATTTTTCTAATTTACATAAATAAAGCTAATTTTCTTTATTGTTCTTGTATTTGAAATTATTTACCCACAAAAGATGGCTGGTTAATCTCACAGATTCCAGAAAATCAGTTCTGTGCAGCAGATAATATCCCTTCTATGTAACTTGACTTTTTCTCTCAGGGAAGCCCTTTCTTTGCAGTGGTTTGGATTCTCCATCTTCCTAATTGTCTCTAGGAATTAGAGTGTTATCCTTATTGTTTCCTTCACCTGAGCGCCCTTCCTTCCTTTGTTCTATCTGGCAGACGCCCATTCCTTTAGGCCTGGTTTAAATGTCACTATGTCTCCCCTTGGTAACTCCTTTACAGTTTTTTCCCTCTTACACCAAGCAAATTTAACTGCTTCCTCATCTGTGTTCCTGTAGTACATTATACATCCCTCTATGCACGGAACATCATGTTGAATTTTACTCTTATCTCTTTCTGAGACTGTGCCTCCTCCAAGGGGGAAATCTTGTCTTCTATAACTGCTTCTGTAGCATCAGCTTAATAACTTGAAATGTTTTGAAATGGATTTGAGCTCAGAAATTTACTCCTTTGCCAAGGCAGATGCTTGACTGATTGTTCTTGGGATATAACTTATTAATTTTATTTTTGGGTTCTTTTGTATTTTGTATGTTTTAATTGTGTCCTTTAGTTCTATTTAAAACAAGACAACAGGCCCAAAATGGAGTCACTTATGCTAAACCCCATGTCACCATGTG